GGAGGCTTGAAAAACACTCCAGGTGTGTGTCTATGCAAGTACAAAAATCTTGACAAGAAGAAAGAATTGAGAAAACGGGATTGTGGTGTGATCACTCTCCACTGGCAGATTCTGTGTCTCTCTTGCACATGCATACACTTACATGCACCTCTGGCATTAGATTAAAAATAATTAAATAAATAAATAAATAAAAACAATAAAGAAGCCAGGCAGTGGGAAAGCAGCAAAAGTGAGACTTTCTAATGCAACCCCACATGGGAAGGTTCACAGTTCAGGTTAGGAGACCTCCCTGAGTATTGCAGACCATGTACTTGACAATGACCCCACACTAGTTGAAGGCAAGGAGTGAATCACATCATTGAGATCCTGGTGTGGTGCTGTCTTTCCCTCTCTGTTACTTACCACTTTGTTACTGAAGGAAAATTAAGACTCTATTTTATGACTGACATATAATGAGTAGTATATACATTTTATCTCTGCCCCTAGCTCCTGGCACAGTTTCTAAAATCCATGTAACATCATGAATGACTGGAACATTTTGTTGTAATATGTGGTCTTAAACACAAAATTTCTACTACAAAACTTTTTAAAAAATAAAATAAAACTTGAAATTCCCTGAATAGGAGGAGAAAAAGGCTGTATCCGTTATTCATAAAAAGCCCCTTTCGACCATGCATGGGTTTATGCCAATGAGCTTACTCTCAGAGGATTGTGGATGATCACCAGAGGAACTAGTCATACAATCAGGGGCTTTCAGCCCTATCCCTGGGCCTATATGGAAGGGAGAAGAACTAGAGATTGAGTTTAATCTAATAGCCAATTATTTAATCAATCATGCCTACATAATAGAGCCACCACACACACACACAGGGAGTTCAGAGAGCTTACATATTGGTAAATACATCAAAGTTCTGGGCTGACACACCAGAGAGGGCACAGAAACTCTACATCTCTCTCACATAACCCATCCTATGCATTTCTTATATCTGGTTGTTTCTGAATTGCATCATTTCTAATACAGCAGTAACAATAAATAAAGGTGTTTCTTGGAACTCTATGACCCATTGTAACAAATGTATGAATCTGATGAGAGGGTTGAGAGAAACCTCACAGTACACAGTTAGTTGTTACCTGACTTGCAGATGGCATCTAATGACTCAGTCTTGTGAGATTGAGTGCCTGACCTATAGAGTATGGGTTAATACTGAGTACTTAGTATCTGCAATGAATTTCAGGACACCTGATTGGTGTCCAGAGAACTGGAGACTTGTACAAAGAAAACCCATACATTTGTTGTCAAAGTGTAAGTAAAGAGAAGCAACTAGTTTTCCTTTTAATAATGAATATTAACTAACATTAAGAGTAGAAGATGCAGGAACCAGCAGTTAGCGTAATGGCTATGTCACTGGACTCCCACATAGTCGACCGTGGTTCGCATCCCGGACCTGGTGGCTTAAAACTCACGCCGGGCGCGTGTGCGTGCGTGCCCAAGATCCCAAGAGGAGAATGGAGGAGAAGGGATTGCGGCGTGACCATCCCCCCTGGAGGGTGATTTCTCGCTTTCTTTCTCTATGTCTCTGTCTGTCTGTCTGGCGAGCGCACGCGTCCTATAGCGAAAATCTCTCCAAAAAAAAAGAGTAGAAGATGCTATTAGGCCAGTAGGTGGCGTAAAGGTTAAGGCACAGAATCCCACATGATCAACTGAGCAGCAAGTCTCAGACCCAAGGGCATCATATCAAGCATATTTGCATGCATGCCCAAAAATCCTAAAAGGAAACTAAAAGAAAGGGGACTGTGGGATAGCCATCCACCCTGGGCCATGATTTACCACTTCCCTCTCTCTTTATCATTCTCTGATTGTCTCTCTCTGATGAGTACACTTGCCCTATAGCAAAAATTTAAAAAAAGAAAAAAAGAAAAGAAAAAGTCTTCTTAAACAGTACCACACCACCCAAACTGTTAGTGATTAAATTAAACTGCTATATAGAGTTTTGCTTAATGTCAATATGTACTTTGGGGAGCGAGCAGGTGGCACGGTGGTTAAGACGCTGGACTTTCACATGGCCGACCACAGATCAAGTCCCAGACCCAGTGCCTTGAAACACACCATGTAGTTTGTATGCACGCATGCTCAAAAATCTTGAGAGGAGAATGGAGAAGAACTGCAGTGTGGTCATCGCCCTTGGGAGGTGATTTCTCATTCTCACTCTCTCTCTGTCACTGACGAGTACACGTGCTCCATAGCAAAAATCTCTCACAAAATAAATAAATACGTACTTTGGCTCCCTTTAAAATATATGGCAAATTTTCAAATTTAATGAATAAATGCCCCTAATTCAAAGTCATATCTCATCATGAACTTTTCTTCTCTCCTAGCTGGCACTGTACAATTAATATTCAACCACTGTTAATACAGCTTGATTCACACAGAAACTCTCTAAAAAGCAAAAGCTATATATTTTCTTCACAGTATAAAACACAATTTATCAACAGTATTTACTTATAACTTAATAAACAGTATTTTAAAATATACAAAAAAAAAAGTACCAAAATAAGGGCAGAAAACAGAATCTAGAGAGTAGTACCAATTATATCAGATGAATAATTATCACCTAGATTTTGTTCATAACATACAGAATTTAAACATACTAACATTTGAATAAATTATGAGTGTTACCTTTAAATAAAACATTTTATAAATAAATATGCAGAGCACATTTTTAAGACAATCCTACTAGACGTAAAAAAATCTTGAAAGAGAAAAAAAGGAGGGAAAGATGATCTATAATATGATGAATAAGATGGTCAATCTTTCAGCTATATTATCACTTAACATCATATGATATTTTAAAAATCTATTCCAATATTCCCAAGATAAGCAAACAAGTTAATAACAACTTTATAGTGTGATCACTTTATAGATTATCAATAGACGTCAGTTTTTTTTTTTTTTTTGGAGAAGTTTTTTTGCTATAGTGTGCATGCGCTCGCCAGAAAGAGAGAGAGAGACAGACAGAGAGACAGAAAATATGAAATTGCCCCACAAGGGGGAAGGCCAAGCCACAATCCCTTTTCCTCCATTCTCCTCTTGAGATCTTGGGCATGCATGCACATAAGCCCAGTGTGAGTTTAAGCTACCGGGTCGGGAACTTGAACCATGGTCGACTACGTGGGAATCCAGCAACATAGCTATACGCCATCTGCTGGTCCCAGACATAAGTTCTTAAAAAACAAATATAAAAATGAGTTTCAGGGACCAGCAGATGGCATATAGCTATGGTTAAGGTGATGGGCTGACCACGGTTCGAGTCCTGGACCTGGTAGCTTGCTTTCTCACTTTCTCTCTCTGTCTGTATCTCTCTCTGGCCAAAAATAAAGTGAATGGATGAATAAATAAAATTAAATAATTTTATTAAAAAATTAGTTTTAAACTTGACAAAAATCAAGCTATATCAAAAATACATATATGAAAAAAGCTAGCACTTTACGTGCTTCTAAAATTTAAAGCTGAACAAAATTAACTCAATACAATGTTTCTTAACCTAGTATTCAAGAACCACAAATGACTCATATAATGAAAATTCTAACTCATTCTCTGAGCAAAAAGGAAAAAGATAATTAAATGTCTTCAGCTCAATGTTTATTTAACAGTACACCATATTTAATAACTATTCTTCAAAGAAAATGATAGCATATATTAAAATAATCACAAAGTGATCACATCTTTAAACGAGGTGATCCTTGGAAATGGCAGAACAGAAGACTATTAATGACACAACATCCTTTAAAACAAGCCCTACCTAAGAAACCTTAGTTTGTGGTTTATAAAACTTAAAATTTCATGTTTTTTTAAACTAAAACTACTAATCAAACCACCATTTTTTCATCAGCAATCCAAATAACAACAGATAACAAGATCAACAAATAAGAGCCCCACTATTATGACTTTTTCACAAAACCACTTTATAAAGAAATCAAGATGAATAGGCATATCTGCTGCCTAAGATCATAAACACACACACACACACAAACAACTGCACTAAAGTTGAGTACAAAAACGTAATCTCAAAACTACTTAAAATTTATTTACTTTGAAAAAAGCACAAATACAAATTCAAACCAAAACATTCATAAATAACTATACATTAATATTTTCCAAATTCTAAATACTTACAAACGTAAAAATACATGTGGACTTAGTTTCTAAATACTATTTACAGAAATATTTTCAAAACTTGTTAATACTGACTGTGTAAGAGTAATATCCTTCCCCTTCTGAAGATGTCCTTTGCCTCCTCACTTTCTCAAAAACATACGGTAAGTAATATGCTTCTACTACACTGGCAAAATGTTCTTAAAGAACTGCGATTTAAATATGAATGACTATAGTATTCATTTTTGTTTATTAAAAATCATATCCTTTAAGGTGAATGAAAATATAAGCAGAAAACAGGTAATTCAGAAGAAGACAGATTAGTATTTAGTCAAGCTTTTAGTGTTTTAATTAAGAGATGAAGTATTCTCAAATAGTATGACATTTAGCCTTGCGAAAAAAAATAAACCATTAGCATTACTGAAAACCAAAACCAGTCAAGAATATATAAAATTTTATAACTGTTCTATCATAAAGGAAAAACCTGATGAGATAATTACTTACATGTGAAGTAATCAGGTAATGATATTTATACCAATAAATTAACATTGCTGAAGTCAGCTAAAGATTTCACAAAACGATCACAGTAACACATGTAAGAAAATCTCTCATGTTTTCAACCCAGTTGTACGTTAAACTTTCAGTTGCACTGGGCAAACCATATTCACAAATATGGCATTATTTTTAAATTGAGTCTGTGACTTAATACTTTTTATGAGTCAAAACTTTTCTCTATTCAATGTCTCCATTTAGCTACCAAGAACTTAATTTTTTTCATCTAAAAAGGCAAAAATAAAAACTGATTAAGTAGATGTGCTACATATTTAGCAACAACAAATCGACTTACTTTTTTCTCCTTCTCATGATGTTTATCCTGAGAGTGAGAGGAAGAATCACTTAAACTTTGATCATATGACCTATTAGATCCCCGTTTGCTCTTTTTCTAAAAAAGAAAATATATATACATATATGTATATGTATATAAAAATTTAAAGACTCTTTTTGTTAGGCTTAAACCAATTTAAGGGTAAAATATTTTGAAATATCTACTAAAGTTAAAAAAGTCTCAATTTATATAATCCAGTTTAGACATCATCAACATATTATCTATTGCATTAACAAAGGAACATCTAACCCTAAACTTACTATTAATGCCATATTTTGTATATTTATTAAAATGTAAAAATAGATCATCTATTTTTAAATAAGCTACCATTAATTTTCAATGCCTGCTTTAAAAAAAAAGTTTCAACCAAAAAATAAAATGCCGTATTACAGAAGGATGCCAAGACTAGAGGAACAGAAAAGTAAATACTGGAAGAGTTACTTTATGCCACTAGGAAAAGCAAGAGGCCTTTTATTGTTATATTTTCAGAATTAAGGGATATGGTTTTCTGAAAACTTATCTCTGCAGTTCATTAAAAAAAATTAAAGGAAATGTCAATATTAGACCCATGCATTTTTCAAAGCATTACTAAAAATACTATGCACTTCTACTTAACATACTTTAATGCACAATAAAGTACAAAAATAAGTGATTAGGGTATTTAAAAGTAGGTGGTACCATAACTATCTGGTTTGCACTAAATAAAAGTGTTCAAATTCCACGCAAATGTAAAGTTCATACACTCTTACTAGATTAATAAACAGACTTTTCCCAACTACTCAGAGTAACACTGTGTCAATAATAAGAAAATTCATTTCACAAACTTCGAATTCCATTTCAGTTTTGCATTTTTACTTAGAAAATTAAGATCCCAGAATGCTTTACTACCCAGGAAGCAAAATTTTCAATTTTATAATCTCAAACTTTGTCTTAAAACACTTCAATAGTTTTTATCAGTCATTAAAATAAATCAGATTTCAGCATCAAATGATAATAGGCACACACTCTTATATGTTTCATAAATATGAACCAGAATACTGCAGGAATGAGTTCTTAAAACAGGGTCCCCTAGTAATATTAAAAAAAAAAAAAAAAAAAAGGGAAAGAAAGAAACAGCCCCATTAGCAAGGGAAAGATAATCATTTAAAAAATCAGACACTGAAAGAAAAATGAACCTTAAAAACGTTCAGTTATGAATCTGTACCATTACAGACTGAGAAACAGACATGTGGAACATTAAAGGAATTTTGACCCTTAAAAGGCAAATGACACAAATATGTTAACAATCAAATGCTACTAACTTTATTATCCATGCAACTGTGTAACAGCAAAGACTGACCAAATTTTTAAAAAAAGTTTTTAAGTTCTTTAACCCAAGGTGCAAAACAGCCTTATTTCTATTTTACTATTTTGTAAAGAAAAAAGACAATAATTTTAAGACAAATAAAATGAGTAACAGCAATAAGCAGAAAGGTAACAAGTGTTAATCTAAAAATGTATATGTACCAAAATGTCAAAGATCAATTAACTAAAAATGCTAAAATAATGTTAACATAATGTTCTTTAAAAAACCTATTGGGGGAACCAGCAGATGGTGTAATGGTTATGTCACTGGACTCCCAGGTAGTTGACTGCAGTTGGAGTCCTAGACCCAGCTGCTTAAAACTGGGCAAATCCTGAGAGGACACTGAAGGAGAAGGGACTGAGGTGTGGCCATTCCACAAGGTGGTGATTTCTCATTTTCTGTCTCTCTGGTGAGTGCAAGTGCCCTATAGCAAAAATCTCTCAAAAAAGAAACAAAAATCCATTGGGACCAGCATATGGCACAGCAGTTACATCACTGGATTCCCACATAATCAACCACAGTTCGAGTCCCAGACCCAGCAGCTTAAAATATAACCCCTGGTATGTGTGCGGAATGTTCCTAAATCCCAAGAGGAGAATGGTGGAGAAGGGATCGTGGCATGGCCATCCCCCTTAGGAGGTGATCTATCACTTTGTCTCTGTCTTTCTGGTGAGTGCAAACACCCTATAGCAAAAATCTCTCTTAAAAAAATACAAATAAGGGGCCAGCAGTTAGCATAATGGCTATGTCACTGGACTCCCATGTAGCTGACCGAGGTTCAAGTCCTGGACCCCGTGGTTTAAACTCACACCGGGCACGTGTGCGTGCGTATCCAAGATCCCAAGAGGAAAATGGAGGAGAACGGAGGAGAAGGGATTGAGGAGTGGCCATCCCCCCTTGTGGAGTGATTTCTCGCTTTCTATCTCTCTGTCTCTCTCTTTCTGGTGAGCGTACGTGCTCTATAGCAAAAACCTCTCCCCCCAAAAAATAAATAAATACAAATTTTAAAACTGCTTCCATTGAATGTAAACCAATATTTACCATCAACTATCAATGTTAACATATATTCTAAACTATAATATTTATAAAGCAAATCAAAACAAAACATGCTAATCAAACTTAATCTCGAGAAAAAATTCAAGCAAAAATAAATGGCTAATAAAGCCTTCTTTTATAAAATACTATCGCTCTATTGTCAAGCTAATTATAACCATATTACTAGTAAATTCAAGACAAATTCTTACCAGTTTACTAAAATGGTATTTACAGTAGCCACAGTATTGGACGTTATCTGCACCATTACCTTCTTCTTCACAAAGGAGCCCGGCAAACTGAGCACTGAAAATAAATGCCAAGTACAACAATAAAAACTCAAACCACAGTATAAATAAATAAAATGTACTTCCAAGCATAAAAACTTAGAAGAAAATGTATCTACTAAGAAAAATTTTTAAATTTTATTCTAGTTGTGACTAACTGTATTTCAAAATAACCTACAATAGATTTTTTTTTAATTTGCCAGTTGGATACATGTGCTCATCAGAGAGAGGGAGAGGGAAACTGCACCCTTCAACATGACATAGTCATATCACAATCACAATCCCTTTTCCTCCATCCTTCTACCCCATCAGGACCATTGGTGCACACACAACATATTTTTTCAAATGACTGAGATCAGGATGATGGGGCCACAGAGTTGGCCTGATCTTTTTTTTTTTAATTATCACACTACTTATGCACTCACCAGAGCTGGGTGGAGACAGGGGTAATGGGCACTCCTCAATGGGGTGTGATTCACACAGCAAACCCTTTTCCTACATCTCTCCATCCAGTTGGAATTTTGGTCACATACACATGTACTTGACATGTTTCTCAAGTTTTTAGGATTGGGATTCAAACCATGGTTTGCTATATGGAATCCTGCTCCCTTAACAGCTGGGAAATAGAGCTAGCCCAATCTTTTTTCTTTTAAGTTATATTTATAATTTAAAATAAACTCTTTGGGGTTAAGGCGCTGGACCTCCCACATGGCCAACTATGATTCCAGTCCATAGACCCAGCAGTTAGATCAGGTACATGTGCCTGCATGCACAAAATCCCAAGAGAACAGAGATGAAAGGATTGAAGTGTGGCCATCTACCCTGGGAGGGGTGATTTCTCACTTTCCCTCTCTCTGTTTCTCTGGTGAGTTTACATGCTGCCCTATAGCAAAAAACCTAAAATAAATAAACAAACTGTTCATCTAGATCTACCAGGGATGAAAATGTATGGCTGTTTTATGTCACTGATTAGACATTCTAGTTCTTTTTTAAGATAAAATCTTATTCTCCCAAAATTAACACTTTACACTGTTACAGGTACTCACAGAAAAGCCTTACTTCTAAGAGGCTAAAATGATGTGGGGATCCGCAGGTGGCATGGTGGTTAAGGTGCTGGATACTCCCACGTGGCTGACCATGGTTCAAGTCCTGGACCTGGTAGCTTGCTTTCTGACTTTCCCTCTCTCTCTCTGGTCAAATTAAAATAAAGGAATGAATAAATAAAATAAATCTTTAAAAAAAAAAAAATAAGGGACCAGCAGTTAGCGTAATGGCTATGTCGCTGGACTCCCATGTAGTTGACCACGGTTCAAGTCTTGGACCCAGTGGCTTAAACTCACGCCGGGCGTGTGTGCGTGTGTGCCCAAGATCCTGAGAGGAGAATGGAGGAGAAGGGATTGTGGTGTGGCCATCTCCCCTGGGGGGTGATTTCTCGCTTTCTGTCTCTCTGTCTCTCTCTCTCTGTCTGGCGAGCGCACGCACCCTATAGCAAAAACCTCTCCGGGAAAAAAAAAAAAAATGATGCAAGATGTATTCAGCCTATGGATACAGATTATATATTCTTTTTCTATAAGAATTATGTATTTAATTTTATTTACTTATTATTTGCTATAGGTCATGTGAGCTCACCAGACAGATAGAAAAAGAAAGAGACGGACAGTGAGAAAGCAAGCTGCCAAGACTGGCAACTCGAACCACAGTCAGCCACGGGAGAGTCTAGCACCCCAACCACCATGCCACCCACTGGTCCACAGATTGTATATTCTTACAAATAATATACCCAGGAATAATTTTGCAGCTTTAAATGCATCAAATCAAAGCATAGTAGGCAACATAGAAGTAAGTTATGCTTTTCAGTGAAAAGCAATCGAAGAAATAAAATTGAATCCTAAAGTTAGATTATTCAAATTTTTAAGAACACAAAATGATGATGGGACCAGCAGATGGTGTAATGGTTACATCACTAGACTCCCCTGTAGTTGAACACAGTTTAAATCCTGGACCTAGCAGCTTAAAACTCACACAGGGGAGACCAGCAGTTGGCGTAATGGCTATGTCGCTGGGCTCCCATGGAGTTGACCACGGTTCGAGTCCTGGACCCAGTGGCTTAAACTCACGCCAGGTACATGTGCATGCATGCCCAAGATCTGAAGAGGAGAATGGAGGAGAAAGTATTGCAGTGTGGCTATCCCCCTTGGGGGGTGATTTCTCACTTTCTGTCTCTCTCTCTTTTTCTTGCGAGTATACATGCCATATAGCAAAAACTTCTCCTCCCCCCCAAAAAAAAACTTGCACAGGGCACATATGCATGCATGCTCAAAATCCCAGAGGAGAATAGAGGAGAAGTGACTGTGGCATGGCCACCTCCCCCCTGGGAGGGGTGGGGGATGATTTCTTGCTTTCTGTCTCTCTGTTTCTCTCTGTCTCTCTGACGAGCGCACGTGCCCTAAGCAAAAACCTCTCTTAAAACACACACCCACAAAAAAAAAAAAATGATAGCAAAGCAGTTACATTACTGGACTCTCACATGGGTGACTGAGGTTCAAGTCCTGGACCCAGTGGCTTCAAATTCACACTGGGTGCCTTCACATGCAAGCCCAAGATCCCAGGAGAAGAATAGAGGAGAAATTGAGGCATGGCCATCCACCCTAGGGGGTTAATTCTTATTTTCCTTCTCACTGTCTCTGTCTCCCCTCTCTCCAGCAAGAGCATTCTCATATGCCCTTAGGCAAAAACCTTTTAAAACAAAACACAAAATACTAAAATTTATAACTATCATTTTGTCAATCTGACTTTCACCCTTTAACATTCCAAACTTAGTAGTATAAAACTCATACCCAGATAAAGGACTTTCACCTTTGGAAAATTAAAACAATTCCTAGAAAGGCCAGCAGCTAGCATAGTGCAGTCCCACATGGTCACTGCAGTACAGTTCCTGTACCTGGCAGCTTGAAACACTAGGCGCATGGGCGTCCATGACCAAAATCCAGAGAGGAGAATGGAGAGATGCAGTTTGGCCACCCCCGCTAGGGATTGATTACTCACTTTCTATCTCTCTGTCTCTCCAGCAAGTGCACATGCCTTACAGCAAAAATGTATCAAAAAAAAAAAATAATTCCTAAAAATAAAAAATCTCATTCCATTCCCCAAAAGTAGTCTAAAATGGACTTCATATATATGTGTGTGTATATATATATATATATACACACACACATATATATATAAAACATTAAAACCTCAGGAGGGGCTCAACAGTGAAATACCATCCTCTGTGAGTCAATCCCACATGGAAAGTTTCTCAGATGGAGTCCAGAGACCAACCTGAGCACACCAGGCTAAGACTAGACAACATCATCAAGACCCTGAAGTGAGTACTCTCTTTTTCTTTTTCTAAGAAAGAGAGAGAGAGAGAAGGAAAGGATAGGATAGGATAGGATAGGATAGGATAGGATAGGATAGGATAAGATAGGAAAGGAAAAGATAGGGAAGGATAGGATAGGATAGGATAGGAAGGGAAGGGAAGGGAAGGGAAGGGAAGGGAAGGGAAGGGAAGGGAAGAAGAAAGAAAATTAAAAAGAAAGAAAAAAAAAAAACCTTACTTAAGAAATGAGTATGTGCCTTCATTGGCAGCTAGGCATAGACTTCTTTTAAAGATACAGGGTCTTGCTATGTTAACAAGGCTGGCCTAGAACTCACAATTCTCCTGCCTTAGCTTCCCAAGTACCCAGGATTACAAACACTTAACACTGTCCCTTGCTAGACTAACTTCTAAAATTGGGGCTGTCAGGTGGCATGGTGGTTAAGGGTGCTGGACTCTGACGTGGCAGAGCACGGTTTGAAGCCCGGAACTGGCAGCTTGCTTTCTCACTTTCTCTCTCGCTCTCTCTCCCTCATTCTTGCTCTCTCACTCTGTCCCTCTCTGGTATGTATATATGTATGTATGTATGAATGAATAAACAAATAAATAAAATTAATAAGTACGAGGGTTATTACCAAACTTTATTTAGAAGTGTTATCTATTATATACACTATCTTTTGATTTTGATAATTTTACCTTTAAAATTTTATGCTAAGGAACTAACAGATGTTAACAGTTATACTGCTGCACTCACATGCAGTTGACCATGGTTTGAGTCCCAGACCCGCTGGCTTAACACTCACACCTGGGGCAAGTGCATGCATGCCCAAAATCCTGAGAGGAGGACTGCAGCATGACCATCCACCCTGGGGGGTGCGATTTCTTACTTTCTGTCTCTGTTTCTTTAGCAAGCGCACATGACCTACAGCAAAAATTCCTCTCAAAAAACCAAAACAAAACAAAACAAAAACAGCAAATTTTATGCTAAAAAATTTCTTAAATAAGTTTGACAGATAGCCACTATAACACTGAGCATGGTGGGGATTGCAGTATTTTTCCCTTGAGACACAGAAGGTGAAGAAGCACTATTATTTATTAAATCTTTACAATTTTTCAGACATGGCAATAAATTCTAATACTACATCAGCTCATTTAATCCAAATAACAAATCAATGGTCGGTGACCAGCACGTGGCGTGGTGGTTAAGACGCTGGATACTCCCACATGGCTGAACTCTCTCTCTCTGCCTCTCTCTGGTCAAGTTAAAATAAATGAATGAATAAATAGAACTAAATAAATAACTCTTAAAAAAAAAAAGTCACGTAATCAATACCAGTATTTTAAACATGATGCTACTAACGCTTACAGACAGTACACATTCAAATTAGGGTCTACTTATTATGAATTCACTCCAGTTCATACAGTTATTAGAATTATTTTTATAATAAAAAAATAAGTCCACACAAAAGCCTTCCCAGGTTCAGCCAAAGAAGCAAGAGGGAACTACTGAGGGATGGCTAAGGCCACAGAGGAGGCCTAGGTTTGGTTCCCAGCTCAATCTATACAGGCTGGGCACAGCAATGCATGGCTATATAGTTGTTGGCTGGTTGGGAGCCTAGGACAAGAAGATTGAGTCATTAAGATGCTCTCAAGAAATACCAATTTCAGGGCCAACAGAAAGCACAGTGGTTACATAACTGGAATCCCACACAGTCTACCACAGTTAGAGTCCCAGACACAGTCACTTGGAACTCATGCAAAGTGTGTGTGCATGCATACCCAATATCCCAGGAAGAAAATAGAGAAGTAATTGTAATGTAGCCATCCCCCCTGGGGTTGATTTCTTACTTTCCCTCTACCTGTCTCTCTGGCAAGCACACGTGCCCAAAAGCAAAAACCTCTTTTAAAAAAATTAAAAATGCGGGACCAGCAGTTGGCATAATGGCTATGTCGCTGGACTCCCATGTAGTCGACCGCAGTTCGAGTCCCAGACCCGGTGGTTTAAACTCTAGCCAGGTGCGTGTGCATGTGTGCCTAAGATTTCAAGAGAATAGAAGAGAAGGGACTGCAGTGTGGCCATATCCCCTCGGGGGTGATTTCTTGCTTTCTGTCTCTCTGTCTCTCTCTTTCTGGCGACTGCATGCACCTTATAGCAAAAACCTCTGCAAAATAAATAAATAAATAAAATAAAAATGAAAGAAATGCTTCCCATACTCATTCTCTAATTTAAAAACAAATGAGAATTTATTCCAATTAGATCTGTTATAATTAATATTTGGGTACCTACATCCATAATTTAGGACTATTATACCAAGCACTCAACGATACCAGTTCTGTACAACGATAGACACAAACTTACCATGTTACATGGAAAGCCTGTCGACATCCATGCTTATTACATGTCATACAAGCTCCAGTGGCTGCTTTGCTTTCTCTTCCTTGTTCATCACAAATGTAGCAAGTCTTAGGGGTGGAGAAACAAAAAGAAAAATTAAATAAAAATCGTGCAAGTGCTTAACATGAATCGTGAATCTTAATTTTATAATCATCGTTACAAATGAAGATCAGGTTTACTATATAACCTACTTCACTTCAAAACATAGATTTTTTTTTTATTTTTTTCTTTTTTTAAGGAGAGAGAGAGAGACCAGAAAAAACATGGATTTTTTTTTAGGGGACAATAAAAATAATTCTGTTATTACAAATAACAGAAACAAGAAAACATAATCAATGAATACTAATATAATAGCTCTAGTAAAAATTCAGAAAGGAAAACTGAATCTTAATCTCAAAATCCCTGTAAGACAGGAAGGCTCTTCAAAGGCATCAAGGCCAGGGGCCACGACATAATACACGTAAACACAATTTTCTTAAAGCCTCCTCATTCTACAGATGAGTATCTCTGATAAATATAGATGCAAAAATTGTCAACAAGATACTTGCAAATCATATCCAGCAACATATAAAAAAGATTATTCATCACGACTAGGTAGGTATTATTCTAGGGATGCAAGTGTGGTTCAATATATGCAAGACCATAGGGAACCAGTGTTTAGCGTAATGGCTATGTCGCTGGACTCCCACGTAGTCGACCGCGGTTTGCGTCCCAGACCCGGTGGCTTAAAACTCACACCGGGCGCATGTGCATGCGTGCCCAAGATCCCGAGGAGAATGGAGGAGAAGGGATTGCGGCGTGACCATCCCCCCTGGGGGGTGATTTCTCGCTTTCTGTCTCTAATATCTCTGTCTGGCGAGTGCACGTGCCCTATACTCAAAAAAAAAAAAAAAAACCATATGCAAGACCATAAACAGAATACACCGTATTAACAGAAAGAAAGATTAAAAAACTTCATTTCAACCGATACAAAGCATTTGATAAATACAATATCCCTTCATGATTAAGACTCTTAGCAAGATTAGTATAGAAAGGTCATTTCTCGACCCAATAAGAGGCATATATAAAAAACCTATAGCTAACATTATACTGAATAGGGAAAAGCTAAAAGCTTTTCCACTAAAAACTGGTACTAGACAAGGCTGCCCACTTTCTCCACTTCTTTTCAATATAGTGCTGGAAGTCTTAGCTGATGCAATGAGAAAAGAGAATAATATAAAAGGCATTCAAATAGGCAAAGAAGAGTTGAAAATATATTTATTTGCAGATGACAGGATGTTATACGTAGAAGACCCAAAGGTTTCCATGAAAAAAACTTCTCAAAGTAATAAATGAATACAGTTTTGGGTCAGGATACAAAATCAACAACCAAAAATCTATAGCATTTCTATATATGAACAAGTTGAACAAGGTAGATCTGAAGAAAGCAACCCCTCTTATCACAGCTACAAAATGCTTAAGATACCTAGGAATAAACCTAACCAAGGAAGTCAAACACCTTTACTATGAAAATCTTTTAAAAGTTACTGAAAATGGCACAAAAAAGTAGAAGGACATCCCATATTCCTGGATTGGAAGAATTAATATCATCAAAATGGCAATTCTACCCAAATTAATCTACATATTTAACACAATTCCAATCAAATTAGAGGAAAACCTCTTTAGCAAATGGTGCTGGAAAAACTGGGTAGCCACCTGCAGAAAGATGAATCTGAACCCCTATCTGTCACCATTAACAAAAACCAACTCAAAGTAGATCAAAGATGTAATCTAAGACCACAAGCTAAAAAACTAACGTGGGAAACACTGGGCGAACTCTGGGAGACATTGGGGTAGGCAAAGACTTCTTAAGCAAGACCCCCAAAGCAAAGACAATAATCCCTAAAATAGACAGGTGGGATTACATCAAATTAAGAAGCTTCTGCACAGCAAAGGACACAGTAATTAGTGTGAACTGACAACCCTTGGAATGGGAGAAAATTTTTGTTAACTATACCTCAGATAAAGGACTGATAACTATAATACACAGGGAACTCAAGCGGCTTACCCAAAAATAAATGATTAACTCAATTAAAAGACAGGAAAATTAGCTGAATACAAATCTCTCTAAGGAAGACATACAAACAGCCAAAAGCATATGAGGAAATGCTCAACATCCCTCATCATAAGGGAGATGCAGATTAACCACAATGAGACACCACCTAACCCCTGTCACAATGGCAAAGATTAAAAATACAAATAATGATGAGTGTTGGGGGGGTTGTGGTGAAAGGGGAATTCACCTACACTGTTGGTGGCGAAGTAAATTGGTCCAGCAACTGTGGAAAACAATATGGAGGTTCCTCAAAGATCTACAAATAGAACCACCATTTGATTCAGCAATCCCACTTCTGTGTATCTACCCAAAGGACAGGAGAACGCTCAGTTGGAAAAGTGCTTGCAAATTATGTTTATTCACAATTGCTAAGACATGAAACCAACCCAAATATCCATAAACAATGAATGAATTGAAAAAGTGTGGTTCATGGTGCCAGCAGGTGAGGTGGTATTTAAGGCACTGGAATTCCCACATGGCCGACCATGGTTCAAGTCTCAGACCTGGTGGCTTGTTTTCTCTCTCTCTCTGGCAAAACTCACATGATAAATAAATAAATAAAATAATTCTTTAAAAAAAAAAAAAAGAAAAAGTATGGCACATACACTCTATGGAATACCATTCGGCCATTAAAAACAGCAAAACTCTGGCATTTGATAGAAAGTGGATGAATATGAAAGATTTATTGCTGAGTGAAGTAAGCCAGACTATTTAAGAAAGACACTGTATGTATCCATTTAATATATACTGAGTATCCGCACTTACAGTAAAAGTTGAAATACTGAAGGACATAAAAGCAGTGAGAATAGTTATGGACGCTGAAGACTGTGTGGAATGAAGGTGGAGAAGGGAAGAGTACAAAGAAGGAAATCAGGGAGAAAAAAAAATAGAGAGGTATGACTTTTGTGGCACACAGAAATGGTCTATTACCTGTTAATGAAAACATGTAGAGCATTCTCAACTGGACTGGTCTGAGAAGTATCTTGTGTTAGGTAAATTCTTTTACAACCCAAATGATGTATAGCAATCAAATGTTTTTAAAAAATGAAAAGAATAAAAATAAAATTAAAATATATAATAATCTGAAAAAATGAAAAGCTATTTGGTGATGATGGTGTGTATAGTCATGTCTTTGTCTTGACTGATATGCATGGTAATCGTGCTGGAAAAAGAAATGTTATAGACTGTAAAGATATATGTGATTAAATGTAATATAAAAAATAAAAATAAAAACTTCGTTAATATGACCAGCTTCTGTAACACAGGTGTAAAAATTATCTGTCCATGAGGCTGGCAGGTGGCATGGTGGTTAAGGATGCTAGACTCCCACATGGCAAATGATGGTTCAAGTCCCGGACCTGGTGGCTTCCTTTCTCACTTTCTCTCTCTCTCTTCCTGTTTCACTATCACTCTGATCAAATTAAAAATAAATAAAGTTAAATTTAAAAAATTATCTGTCCTCTGCAAATAATGAATGGTTAAGGAAATAAACATATGTAAGGAGGAGTTGAGATATAAAAGACAAAATGTGAGTAAGATCTGGATCATTCTTATTGTCCATAGGAAATCCCACATGGGACTGTCATTCATCCCACCAACCTGGCAGCTGATGGGAAGAAGAGCTTTTAGTTAAAATAGGATACAGGTGGCCCAGCACCTTAAGCCAGTGAACATCCAGAGAAACTTTGACTGAAATTGGGTTCAATTCCCACGTGGCATGGAGGTTAAGGCCATTGGACTGACACATGGCCAACTGCATTTTGAGTCACAAACCCAATAAATTAAAATTCATACCAGGTGCATGTGCATATGTGCCCAAAATCCCAAGAGACGAATGCAGGAGAAAAGGCTGTGGCATGGGAACCAGCAGTTAGCGTAATGGCTATGTCGCTGGACTCCCACATAGTCAACCGCGGTTCGCGTCCCGGACCCGGTGGCTTAAAACTCACGCCTGGCGCGTGTGCATGCGTGCCCAAGATCCCGAGAGGAGAATGGGGGGTGATTTCTCGCTTTCTGTCTCTATGTCTCTCTCTGTCTGTCTGGTGAGCACACGCGTCCTGTAGCAAAAAAATCTCTCCAAAAAAAAAAATAAATAAAAAGAAAGAAAAGGCTGTGGCGTGGCCATCCCTTCTGAGGGGTGATTTCTCACTTTCTCTCCGGTGAGCATATGTGCCTTTGAACAAAAACCTCTCTCTCAAAATAATAAATAAAAAAAATAATACAATAAACAAGTACCTAATTAATATATAGTAGCACCTTTTCATAGCTCAAACGAATGACTAGGTATGTGATAAATGACTGAATAATATAATCTATTAATATCAGTGTACAATGAATAAAATTATCAACTGACTAGAAATTGAACACACAAAAATTAATTTCTAGTTACATGTAATCAGGTGATACATGTTGCAAAACGATGTGTATTTTAGACAGGGGGAGATTTTTGCTATAGGGTGCATGCACTCGCCAGAGAGACAGAGAGACAGAAAGTGAGAAATCACCCACCAGGGGGATGCCCATGCCACAAACCCTTTTCCTCCATTGTCCTTTAGGGACTTTTGGGCACACATGCACAGGGGTCTAGCATAATTTTAAGCCACTGGGTCCAGGACTCGAACCATAGTAGACTATGTGGGAGTCCAACGATGTAACCATTTCGCCATCTGCTGTTCCCAAAAGATGTGTGTTTGTAAACAATAATAATTTCCAAACACTAATAAAGTATAGGTACAAACTACCAACTTCAATAGGACCATATCCTCATGTTTTCATCCACTCTGTACATGATACCAAATAACACCATGCAACAATATTTACAAGAACATAGTTCCAATAAAACCTACTATCAGGACCAGCAGTTGGTGTAATGGCTATGTTGCTGGACTCCCATGTAGTCAACCACGGTTCAAGTCCTGGACCCTGTGGCTTAAACTCACACCAGGCATGTGTGCGTGTGTGCCCAAGATCCTG